ATTTCGTGTTTCTCTTCTGGACTCTCTCCAACAGGTCCAGGTCTTTTTTATGTTGGGGGCCCCACATGTGAACACAGTACTCCAGGTGGGGTCTCACGAGAGCAGAGCAGAGGGGCAGAATCACCTCCTTCGACCTGCTGCTAATGCTTCTTTTGACACAGCCCAGGACACGGTTGGCTTTCTGGGCTGCAAGTGTACACTGCAGGCTCATGTTCAGCTACTCATCCACTAATACCCCCAAGTCCTTCTCCTCAAGGCTGCTCCCTATCCATTCTCCACCCAGCCTGTATTTGTGCTTGGGATTGCCTCGACCCACGTGCAGGACCTTGCACTTGGCCTTGTTGATGGTATCCCTTCCCTCCAGCGTGTCCACCACACCACACAGCTTGGTGTCACCGGCAAACTTGCTGAGGGTGCACTCGATCCCACTGTCCCTGTCTCCGACAAAGATGTTAAACAACACTGGTCCCAGTACCGACCCCTGCGGAACGCCACTTGTCACCAGTCTCTTTTGTAACAAACATTTCTATGTAAATGCACAAAGGAGAAGTTTTCAGTTAGATTTCCATCCACTGAATTATTGAAATGTATTGTTATTTTCATTTAATTATAGCTCAGAGGGAAATGTAATTATCAGTGTGACTTGTTTTGTTTTTTCTCCAGTAATCACTATAAAAAGTTCCCTCAGATGTCATCGTATCAGAGGATGTTAGTGCACAGAGTGGCAGCTTACTTTGGAATGGATCACAATGTGGATCAGACTGGAAAATCTGTAATTATAAACAAGACCAGCAATACAAGAATGTAAGTAGCCACACTGTTTTTCCTTGTTCCCTTTCACAAGAGCTGGTTTGTATCATGACTGTGCGGTGTATTTATTTTTTTTTTAAATTTTGTAGCAAGAGTGAATGCTATTTATTGCTTTCTTGGGTGGGAGGCGAGGACAGGGCTTCCATTGTGAGGTTGTTGAAGGATATAAAGATGCTTAAGGAGAAACCAACCCAATTTGTCTCTTGCAAGAAATTTAACCCAGTATCTTGGAATGTTCCTTTCCCTGATTCCTTCATGCCACCACTTTGCTACAGAAATGAGCTTGTTGCTTTACATGTTACCTGATACCATACAGCTGTATTTCTAAATAACCCACATATATCTGGGAGATTGCCTCTTCCTTTGTTCTGGCTCTCTCTATGTCAATAGTAATTTTCTGCCCAACGTGATTATTTAGGATTTGGTTCCACTCCACCACCATCTGCCACCATTCATTCCCTCTTCTTCCTCTTCTCCCCTCCTGGTTCCCCTTTATTTTCTCTTCAAATCTCATTGTTTGACCACAGAGTTTTTGTGGGATATAAGTTCCTTCTGATGGTTGAAATGCTTTGCAAAATTGCCGGTAGATGAAACTTCTGCTGGCATGCTTTATGCTCTCTTCCATGAACCAGTATAAAGCTAGGAAAAGCTTGAGATGAAGTTCCTTGGCTAATTCAGCAAAGATGCAGTCATGTGTCCTTGCCTAATCAGCATCACTTGTTCTTCCAAGTGCCACGTGTGTATTAACCATCATGGAACTGTGGCCTTCCTCTCCCTCTTTACTTATAAACTGTATAACAAAGAGAAAGCGATTACAAATCGGTAATGAAGTTTTGGTATCTGGTTTTGGAGCAGGAAAGCCCCATGTGAAAATTGTGTACTTCCTGTATTCAATTAGTAAGAGAACTAAGAACATTTATTTCATTTACATATCCAGTAGTTAGGTGATTTACTTGGAGAGAATTTTTTTTTCTGTTTATATTATTATGCTTCTCCTGTGGAAGGCTAGAAGGACTACCTCATTTTGCAAGATCAAAACCTGAGCCAAACACATTGGTATTTGTTCCTTCACTGAGCCCTAAAAATCTTCCATGTGGGCGAAGTAAATTTAAGATCACAGACAATTTATTTTAGATTCTTTTCATGGGCTATCTGTAAAACAGTGGCATCTGTAAAACAATGCTCAGACATTAATGTTTTTAAAGGTTTGACTAAAGCGTGCACTAACAGTCTGATTTTCAGAAGTCAAGAGAATTACAGCAGCTTGATAAATCTGACACTCAAGGTGCGAAGGCTCAGCCTCTGGGTCTGGTAATACTTGTTCCTGCATGAGAGCTATGTTTGGGTATGAATAAGAACAAGCTGGGTATGCAGCAAACCTATATTAATTTCTGAGCTGTAAATGAGAAAAAAAGTCTTCTCTCAAAGAAAACACAGTCATATCTGAATGCTTTTGAGGCAATCCTCTCTCTTCACAGTTGTCCCTTTTCCCTTCACATCTGCGTCGCCTCTGTAGCTCACCAACTCCTCCAGATCTTTTCTCGCAGCGTTGCCTTCTCCTGGTTGACTTGGTGATGTGAGAATATCCCATTAATATCTGCTAGCGCCTTGCTCGGTTGTGTGGCTGTGCATCACAGGGGTGGGTAGCATTGGAAACGCTTGCAGAGGCACTTCTGGAGAGGACACTGACGTCTTGGTCACCAGTCAAAGCTTTATCCGAGCACTCGTAAAGCTGGGGTTTCTTGCATGGTGGGAAGGAGCAAGCGAGGCTGTTTTCCAGGCATGAGCTGGCATCCTTGTGGGCAGGCTCAGTGGGCAGGACTTTGCGGGGGTATAACGGGTTGAATGACCCTTGCAGCTGTGGTCTTGCAAGCTGGAGGTGAAGCACGGAGACAGACAAATCGGTTCTGACAACATTCCTGTGTAGATCTTACAGAAATGAACACAGGACTGTGCCCCTCAGCTGTTTTGTAAGCACCACGCAAACGGCAGATTTTTTTTTTTCTTCTGCACTGATTTGGTGGTAGGTAACTGGATTATATGAAGCTCATATTGCATCATGATGCTTCCAGTGTGTTATTTACATTATTTGGATACTGCTGTAAAATAAAGCTTTGGAGAAGTAGCTCGCTCTTTTCATAACTGGAGGAGATGACTTTTTTTAAAAAAAAAAAAAAAAACAAACCAGCATTCCTTGCGCTGACAGAAAATAGATTGTTATTATCCAGCCTGAATAAGGGCTGATGAGATTATATTATCCACAGCAAATATTGTGTAAGTTCCACATCTGAAAGCACCCGAAGAGATTTCATGTCTTCTGCGTTTCAGTGCTCTCAGAGGAGACAATTTGGTGCGGTTCAGAAACAACATCAAATACTGGGAATGTGTTGACTCTATTAATTACCGCTTGGACAATCGCCAGAACACCAGAGAATCTGGAGAACGGCCGAAACGCTGTTCAACATGATTATTCCGTGCTGTAAGCCTGAGCCTTGATAGTTTTATGCACATTTATGGAGAGGCCCCATAGATGTTCTGAAGACTTGCATTTTGACAATAAATTATCTCTTTATGGCTTCTGGTTTCCAAAGCATTTTTAGCTGCATATGATGGAGAGGAAAGAATATTCATTTTTGCATACTCAATAATTCATAAATTCTGCGCTGGCTGTTAATTCTGTGCGTGTGCCTGGTTGCGAAGAGCATATGAGTTGCCGTGTGATATTGAATAATCATCGTGTGGCTTGTTTCTCTGGCTGAGCGAGGGTTCTTGTCACATCTCTGCTCACACTTGCAAACGATGAGTTGTTCCCTAGCTCCAGGCAGCGAGGTGCGTTTATTCTGTTCAGCAGAGACCTCTCGTCCTTGCTGCCTGCAGGTGCTTGGAGGCACAAATGTCAGAAGAGTTAATGGCTTGGAGATGAATGGGCTGGTTGGGAAAATCTGGTAACAAGGCTACCGTACGGGTGCCGCGGTATGGAGTAAAGTCTGTCAAATGGGGGACTAGGGTATGAATGGGGTGGATGGGGGCATTTAATTTCTTTCATCAATTGTAAATCTTAGGGCAATGTATATCCACTTGAGTGTACCTTTGTCTATGAAAAGTACCTGCTAAAATACCTGTAAAATTTTTTTACCTATATAATTTCCTGGGGCTTGGAATTGGACAAAGTGCTTTTTGGAGAGGTTGCAGCTGGAAGGAGGGCTGGGGCTTGACTGGTCAACCGCGCTGCTTTACAGAGAGGGGAAGACAATGGTAAAAACACACTAGGACTTGGATCTTGCCAGGACTGCAATCTTGGAGCTTTAGGGAACTCTCCGTGAAGTTGTTCTTAAAAATACGGTTAGAACATAATGACAATTTTCCAGTCTGACGACAGTGGTGAGGAGCTTAATCTAAGCTGCCTCTTTTTTAAAATTTTATTTTATTGGGATGTGAACAAGTCATACTGGTTTTGGAGCTTTTTTATGAGATGAAATTTTAAAACACAGAGAGATGACCTCCACTACCCAAATGTTTGTTAACCTTCATAAAGTGAAGTGTCAGTACTCTAGCTCTCATTACAGAATAGTGGATTTTAAAAACAAATCATCTTTCCATATGATATTTGAATTTAAGACTAGGTTAAAAAAGAACAACTTTGAAAAATAAATATCATTTTTCATCGTATTATATCTTACAAAGTCCTGCCTAACTGAATTGTCCAACTTTTAAAATCTTAGTCTGAGCAGCGTACATGAGAAAAGTGGATCAGAAAATGAGGGAGGGCTTTTGGTTGTTTGTTTTGGGTTTTTTTTGTTTTTTTTTTGTTTTTTTTTTTTTAATACTCAGAGTTCAAATAGTACTTAAAATGGGAAGTCTGCTTTTTTTCCATATGAAGCTGGTCATGTCACCACTGTAATGTATATTTGCCTGTCATCTCTGTCTGCCTGTCATCTGTCTAAAGATATACTGAAATGTATGGGGAATTTAAGACAGTGAAATGTGATATCAACAGAAGTCTGGAATCGAGGCAATGTGTTAGGGCATCCCAAATTGGAGGAAAAAAAGTGTGTATGTGCCACCTTCTATTCTGTATATTCCTCATAATTCAGAGCTTTTTGCAGAACTGTTCATATTATAGATATCAGTTCAATCTGATTCATTCATTTTATTGTCTGTAGATAGGTGGAGAAATGCAGGGGAAGTATGCTTGGTAAATGAAAAGGGTTTTCATTTGGTTGAGATCATCACCCGTGTGACAAGTATGTCTGTACCACAGCCCACACATGCATTCGTGTACATTTTTGTATAAGCGTGAGTGGCAGGGCTCAGCAGAATTGAGAAGGTGGAGTGCTTAAGATATATAATGGTTGTATTTAGACATTTTCATACATTCTGAGGGTGTAACATACCTATTACGAACTTTATACCAATACTCACATCTTCAGTTATGACTAATTTTTTTTTAAGAGCATCATGAGTTATGATCCTTGTAATATTCGGTTTTCTTCTTACTTTGTGAATATGTAAGTTATTATAATCCTGTCCCAGTCAGAAGATTTTCTGCTGCCTTTAAGATGCATAAAAAACTTTGGGCAATACTAAGATGTTATTTGTATTACATGATTTCCTTATAATCTAGGCGGGAACTGCGTCAGCAGGAGACATAATGTACAGTATGTACTTTGAATAACCTACAAGACTTTTGTAGCTATGATATACAATCTGTGCTATTCTGTTTCCTCTGTGTAAGGGTGATTTGAATCACAAGCTGAGAAGAAAAGTTCTCATTAGGTTCCTGTTGAGTGATCTTGTTGTAGATAACATCTATGCTAGCAGAGGTGCACTGTCACTATCTCTTCAGAATCTGAACTTTGGTACAAGATCCTACAGACATGTCAGTGAAATGGCATGCACTGGATATCAGCACTTTCAATGAGGCATAGTTTCTAGACATTTTTTTTTTATCCTAGGCTGAAGTGCCAAGACTTCCTTGAGATGCCAAATGTTAC